CTGAACCAGTATTTTCTAAAAGACCAAGGCACGAGGTTACAAAATCACACACAGGGAGAGATCGATTCAAAGGGCAAGAGCGCCAGTGGACTTTCATGTACAGAGAATCTGCTCATGGATCTGCTTTCAGAGTCCACATTGCAGTCTGTAATAAACTACTCTGTTGAGTTCTTGTGTAGCATCAAAGAAGATCTACACTTTTCTGAAAGGCTGTTCATATACTCTTTCCTTTTCAGTTACAGATCTGTGTGAGGCCAGAGTTTCTTCTATTTTAAACAGAATACCAGAACAGATTGAATACAGATACAGAGATAAGAATCCAGCTGTTCCATTATGCTAGGTATTAAAGGAATTTGCAACTACATAAGCAATGCCACTCTTCTCATTATTTTCTTTTAAAATATAGTAGTGGGCTTCCCTGGTGGCACAGTGGTTGAGAGTCTGCCTGCTGATGCAGGGGCCACGGGTTCATGCCCCGGTCTGGGAAGATCCCACATGCTGCAGAACAGCTGGGCCCGTGAGCCATGGCCGCTGGGCCTGCGCATACCGGAGCCTGTGCTCCGCAGCGGGAGAGGCCACAATGGTGAGAGGCCCGTGTACTGCAAAAAAAAAAAAAAAAGTTATTTTAAATGAATTAATAAATACATACTTTTCAGCTTTAATTTCTAGTCTGGTATATATTGGTAGATGTAACCCACATAAACAAAAGGTCTTTGGCGTCCTCAATAATTTTTAAGAGTATAAAGGGGGTCCTGAGACCAAGGATTTTGGGAACCGCTGAGCTGGATGAGAGTAAGGAAGCTACTTAATTTCTTCCTCAGTCTTAAAGATGCAGAGACCTGGCAGAGCAGCCCTCGGGACTGGAGTTCCTGCTGTTTTCTGAGTAGTTTTTAGGTAACAGAAAATTCAGCTGAACAGAATGTCCCTTTTCTCAACTCTTTTGATCACCACGGTTTTGTGTAAAGGTTTTCCCATAACTGCGTCACTGAGCAGATATGCTGTGTGTCACAGCAGTGTTTTCACTGGATACTTGTCGCCCCTGGATCCGCATGTATTGCATGACTGGTTAATACGAAGATCGTTTCTGTGTCTGACGTCCGGGGAGCATGGCCGGCAGCCACACTTCTGTGGCGCTGTTGCCGATGAGTGTCGGTGGGATGGAGGGACAAAGCGCTGGCAGGTTGTTGGTGCCCAAACCACGGAGCCCAAGGCCACAGTGATGCCCAGGAATGTCCCAAGTTCACGTCAGACTATTTATAAGGATCTCAAAAGTTGCATTTAGAGAATTAAAAACAATCGTGATCATGCATTTTTGTATCCCTGTTGAAATGTGGCAGTTGGCTAAGGAAGACTTTTCATCTTTGAAGAATGTGATAAGCAAAACTCATGCCTCAGGGCTTCCCTGGTGGCCCAGTGGTTGAGAATCTGCCTGCCAATTCAGGGGACACGGGTTCGAGCCCTGGTCCGGGAAGATCCCACATGCTATGGAGCAGCTAAGCCCATGCACCACAACTACAGAGCGTGCATTCTAGAGCCTGCGAGCCACAACTACTGAAGCCTACGTGCTGCAACTACAGAAGCCCACGTGCCTAGAGCCCATGCTCCGCAACGAAGAGTGGCCCCCCACTCGCTGCAACTAGAGAAAGCCCACGCCCAGCAATGAAGACCCAATGCAGCCAAATAAATAAAATAAATGTATTAATTAATTAATTTTAAAAAATCATGCCTCACCTCTTTGTGAGATGACATTTTCTGTTTCTGGCACTGTCACCCCTCCACCAAGTGTCACCTGTGACTGCACAAATCTCTTTCTCTCTCCAGGCACCTTTTGATGTCCCAGCAGACCCTGAGGAACATGCCGCCAATAGTGTTTGTTCAGGACAAAAAAAATGCAGCTGTAGTGGAGGTAAGGCTTTTACATAATTACCTTTTTATGATGTAAACTTTTATATGGGTAAGATTTTAAATTTAATTTTTAAATATTCAAAAGATAACGTATACAGTTTTAAAAGGTAATAGAAGGGTACAGATGAAAAGTAAGGCACCTGTGCCCTTGTTCTCAGCCCTGTTCCCCAGAGGTAACCACTTTGTATTGCTTTAATGTTTTAACGCTTGTCAGTATAGCCCTAACTAGTAAAGCAGATCGCTCTCTCTGTTTACAAACTTGAAGCAGTCAGAGCTGCCCTCCTGTGCTTACCTCCTTCTCTCACTTCCCTAGATTTCAGTTTGTCTATGGTTACTTTACACTGTTAAGGCTGACACACTTATGTCCTGTCCTGTAACTGTTTCATAATTATTTTTCTTGTTTTAGGTATAGGTTAATTATAAAGGTTAAAAACCTGTTAAAACATACATATGTTTTAATCTGGGTGGTGGTTACTTCGTGGTTATTAAGGTATGTTATACCTTTAAAAAGTTTACTGAAAAAAACAGTAGCATTTACGGGATTATGATTAGGTGGCTGTCACTCACTGTAGGACTAGGTAGTATTTAGATTCACAGAGGGGAAAAAAATCTAATTGTACATTGTTGTCTTTTGTTATTCATGATACAAGCCATACTGAAAACATTATGTGGATAACTTTGATAGATGTGTGATTTCCTAGCTAGAAAGGGGAACAGGAGTGAAGTTGCAGTGCCGCTTACAGCTCAAGTAGAGTTTAGGTAATGGGTGTGCTGTTCAGATACTCAGCAGGCATCCCCGGGCACGTCGGGTGGGGCTGGTGGGAGGACCCACCTGTCTCAGAGGATGAGCCCTCAGCTGGCTCGTCCCTCTCTCTGTGGAGGAAGAATTCAGAGCTGCAAGGTCCTACCTGGCTGTGTGGGTTCCTTTCCAGAAAAAGTCACTGGAGGGAGGGAGGTGCATGCGAGCTTAAGCGTTTCTGGGAGGGCCTTATTCCGACGCCGTGCTGATGGGTGTTTGCATTGGAGACCTCTAGCGTCTGTCCTGCCCCGTGTGCTCCGGGGAAGTGGCCAAGGGTCGGACACGTGCCACGCGGTGATGGTGGGTCCTGCATGTGCCCAGAGCTCAGTTGTTGACCTGGGGGCCAAGGGTCGGTCAGGCCTTGGCTGGTGCCTCAGAGTCCTGCAGTTTCTGCCTCACTGTAGTTAGAAGTGAAGGCTGGACCTAGAGGGGTTTCTGATTTGGGTAGGTGATCATTTGAGGGCATGGTCATTGCTTCCCCCGGCGTAAGTCAGGGCAGTGTTTTTCAAACACTGTGTATGTTTTTAATAGGTTTAAAGTCAGCCGTAGATAAAGCACTTGGCTAGAGACAGAAGTTTAAAATTGGGAGTCCTGGACAAAACTTTGAGTCTTCTATCAGTCCGTTTATTTCTGTCTTATATTGGTTGCACCAAAAATCACAGGTAGTTGCAACTGCTACCAGGTTACCAGTTTCATCAGCTTGCCTTGCATCCTCAGGATAATCTTCAGGTCACTGGTCTGGACATTTGAAAGAGGACTAGTAATAAGCTCTGTCCAAACTGCACCCTGAGTAATTCAGCAATATTGATGGCACTGTCAATAAACACACGCGGAGGTGCTCATCAGGAGAGCACGAACGAAAACCGGATTCCAGCGCGCACCCCTCCATGAGGGCTTTCCTTACAGGAGTGAGGGTGCGAGCGCCGAGGGGTGGGGCCTGGTGGGAGGGCGGCTCACAGCTCCTCGCTGGAGACTGGCCGTCCCCAGGGAAGCTGAGTCTGTGACCCTCGAGCCCCGCCGCCGCCGCCCCCCCCCCCCCCGCCGATGCAGGTGACGCGGGTTTGTGCCCCGGTCCGGGAAGATCCCACATTCCGCGGAGTGGCTGGGCCCGTGAGCCATGGCCGCTGAGCCTGCACGTCCGGAGCCTGTGCTCTGCAACGGGGGAGGCCGCAACAGTGAGAGGCCTGCGTACCGCAAAAAAAATAAGTAAATAAAATAAAAGTACCCACGGACTCGGCCGGTAATGTTGGCACAGGGTCTCTGGCGAGTGCAGTTAGCAGAATGGACGGACGTGCTCTGGAACAGTCCCCTGACCCACCTCCCACCGGCCGTGGAGCCAAGGAAGGGCCACGCGCTGAGAGCTTCTGTTCATAAAACGTTCAGGAAGAGCCTGGCTAATCTTTGGTGTTGGAAGTAAAAGTAAATGGCTGTCATGGGGAGGGGAGTGAGCAAGAGGGGCCTGAGGAGGCTTCTGGGCTTCACCTTCTAAGTGTCGCGGCCGTGCCCACACGTGTGTTCAATTTGTGGGATGTTACTGAGCTACACTTGATGGTTTGTGTACCTTTCCCCTAGATGTTGCACTTCAGTCAAGAGGTTTTTAAAATGTTGATTTTTACTGTAACTATAGAGGAAAAAACTTTTTAAATCTGAATTTTTAAGGGAAATACATAAACTCTGACACCAGTGTTGTGGTACATGCACACTCGTCTCCCCACTGACGGTCAGGCTTCTGAGAGCAGGTGTCGGGCAGCCGGTGCCCACCGCGCAGGGGCACCCACTGCCCCACTGCGCATGGTCTGGCCCGCACCATCTGAGCTCAGAGCTCCCCTTCCACACAAGAAGTTAGCCCGGTGGCCTGTGTTTAAAGTGTTAGAATTTGAGGTTGTGTTTGGATTTGGTTCTTTGTTAATAGAATAAGCTTTACCGAGGCTTAATTTATGTTGAGTTGTGCCTCCTTTGACAAACGCATACCTTTGTGTCATCGCCACCCCAGCTCACCCCGGTCAGCTCTCCCCTACCACCCGTCTGATTTCAGTCACTGTAGGTTAGTTTTGCCCGGTGAGATTTCTGTAATTTCACATGAATAGAATCGGGATGTTGTCTTTTGCATCTGGTTTTGCTCAGCACAGTGTTTTTGAGATTCATCCATGTTGTTTCATGTGTAAGTAGTTCCTTTTTTATTGGTAAGCAGCATCCATTGTACAGCTGTACTGCAGTTTACTTACCCATTCACTTTTTGATAGACGTTTGCTTTTTCCCCACTCCTTGGCTATACAGAGCAAAGCACTGTGAACGTTTGCGGATGTATGTTTTGTTTCATTTAGGTCAGTTCCTAGGAGCAGCAGGCGTATGTTTAACTGTCAGAAAGCTGCCAGGCTGCTTTAACCATGGCCGTGCTGTCGGCACTCGCACCGCAGCGTCAGGGTCCCTGGTCCTCCACGTCCTTGCCAGTCCCTGGTGTTGCCATCCTGATGGCTTAAGCTTGCATTTTCTTTTCTTTTTTTTAAATTATTTGGGCTGCGCTGGGTCTCTTGCAGCATGCCGGCTCTTCGTTGTGGGCTTCTCTCTAGTTGCAGCGTGTGGGTTTAGTTGCCCCGTGGCATGTGGGATCTTAGTTCCCTGACCAGGGATGGAACCCGCATCCCCTGCATTGGAAGGCGGATTCTTCACCACTGTGCCACCAGGGAAGCCCCCTAAACTTACGTTTTGTTGATGACTAATTATATTGAGCATCTTTTTATGTGCCTGCTGGTCATTCCTCCTTTTGTGGATCAGTTAAAGTCTCTTGCCCATTTTTAATAAGGTTTGCTTATTATTGAGTTGTGTAGGTTCATTGTATATCTGGTACAAGTCAGTTGGCAGAAATCTTCATTGTGAATATTTTCTCCCACTTTTAACTTTGGAGGGGGCCACTTGGTCCTTGTTTCATAGCATCGTCAGTCCTGTTTCTGGTATTTTCTGTGGACTGATTTGTCTCCAGTTCTGCTTCTTTTCACCTTTGTGGTTTGATTGGTGTGTCACCGGTTGGTGGTGATGCTTTAGTTCCTGCGTATGACAGGGCCCGGTTATGGACCAGGCTCGCCTGGGCTTGCACTGAAGCAGGAGGTTGGGTCTTAGTGCACAGCCCCAGTAGGACGACCTGGCGGTAGTCAGAACGGATGCGTGAAGGTGGAGAGGCCCTCGACGGGCCCTGCTTAGGAGCAGGGTCTGTCCCCAGCGTAAGCCCCTCAGCCCCTGCAGGACTGGAGCCACACGCTAGACTTGGGACGCTCACGTTACCGCACTGGGGGGTTTCCCTGCAAATTCTGCAGCAAAATTGAAGCATTTTATGAAACTTCATTAGAAACCAGTAAGCGTTAGTAATTCAACTAATATTTAACTGGTTTCTTTGTAAATTTGACTGACATTCACAAGTTTTAAGTGTAGTTTTCAAAAAGCCTCAGTTCATTATCAGAGAAAGTGTGATTGAGGTAGCGGGTGTGGGCAGCGGCCCCGGAAGGAAGGACAGCAGGTGGGCTTGAGGCCCGTGGTGGCGCTGGCACCGGGCAGCGGATGCTCGCACTCAGCTGGCGCCCGGCTCCGATGCAGGCCGTGCTGTGGCTCGAGAATCAGTCTCTGTCTGTTCCTTTTCAGATTGATCGGCTACTGGCAATTGCTGATTTTGGACCCACGGATGAAAAAGACTTCGTGCAAAATGATTTCAGGTGATACGTGTGGGCATATGTTTTTGATTCGGGCAGACACCCAAGTGTGGACTTGCTGGTTTCCACAGCAGCTGCACAGTCCTGCCTGTCCCCAGCCAGGTGTCGAGGGGCAGCAGGCCCTGCTTTGTGCACTTGGCTCTTGCCCTGGGCCCCCACCCGGTGTCGGCGTGCGACTGGTGAAGCACCCAGCACCTGGGTGAGGCTGTCAGGAGGGCCTTGGGGGTCCACACGGAAGTGCTGGGGCCTGGGCTCTGAGTGCTGGCAGTAGCGGTTCATTCTCTCCACTCCCTTGGCACACTGCTGCCTGGCAGGCCCTGTTCTCGTACTTAGGGAACATCTGTGAACAGTAAACATCAGGATAGGCCTCTGAGAAGGTGACGTGAGGATTCGGAGGTGGGGGTGGCCCCATTCCAGGTGAGGGAGCAGCTGCACCACGTGTCTGGTCTGTGTTCCATAGATCAACTGTGTCAGCATCATATGGGTACTGTCAGGGCCTCGGGGTGGGGACCCCCAGCCAGCCTGCCAGGGGATGGGTTGCAGCACTCAGACCCCTGAGTTAGAGCGGAGGCCCCAGGCGGCAGTGAGTCCCCGGGTTCCGGATCAGCAATGAGTGGACGTGGGGAGAGGCGGGTGGGGAGCCCTTCCAGATCAGAGAGTTAGGGTTAGAGGCATGATGTGGCCCGATTTGGGTTTTGAAAAGATTGCTCTGGTTTTGCTCTCAGAATAGAGTCTCCTCTTTTGGTTCATCAAGTAACCTGAGTGACAGATCTAAGAGCCCTCCCCCGTCCCCCCAATAATTCTGTTTACCTATCCTAGTGTACTAGCCTTGTTTAAGTGGGGAAAAGATGAAAACGCATTTAATGTCAGTACACAATGGCTGCACCAGAAGTATGCTGGCCTGAGCCACACACGGGCTCCAAGAGTGCTGGCCAAGAGGTTCTGGACTGGAGAACGCCAGGCCAAACCCCACTTCTGTCCAGTTTCCACAGTTTCCCTTAGAGAGGTGTTAGGACAGCGCATAAGCAAATGGCTGTAGGAAGTGTTGTGCATGGTGTGGATTTCTTCTCCCCTCCAGCGCCCCCGAGGCCCTGGACACGACGTCGCTACGTGATACCCTGGGCCCTGCCGCACCCTCGAGTCTGTGTGGGATCGACCACGAGGCTCTCAACAAGCAGATCCTGGAGTACAAGAGGAGAAGAGAGAAAGGGCGTGGGAGCGTGGGCCCAGTGTGGCTGGAGCACACGGCTGAGCTGAGGAGGAAGGGGAAGGCCAGGCCCCGCGTGGACGATGACCTCCCGCCCAAGGACTGCCTGTGGGAGACAGGGAGTGATGGGCCCCTGGACGGCGGGGCCCTTCCCGAGGAGCACACCCCGGGACGCATGGGGGCTCCAGGGGCAGAGCAGGAACCAGAGGCAGAGAGAAAGGATCGCGGGTGCTGACCCACTCCCATGAACACACGGAGACCTGCGCTGCTGGTGCCCCCCAGGATGCCCTTGTGCAGGTGCAGGCTGAGCTGTGCGGTGTCATCTCTGAGCCCTTCAGACCTATTGCTATGCTGCAGTGAGAGATGGGGCGAGGCTGTGGAAAGGGTGTGAAATCTCTTAGGTCGATGGTGTACGGTCTGCCCTCCATATTTGGGGTTCCAGGCTTGCGTGTTTGCTTGCTCACTAGAGTTTGTCCACGGCCCCCAGGTCCATACTTGTGGCACTTTCATGGTGGTTCTCGGACACGCACAGACCAGTGGGATGCACACGTGGCCTGTGGTCACACAAGCCACTGCTCTGTCTGCGTTGTTCATCTCGGGCTGTGAACAGCCACCCTCTCTGATTGGGTTAGCGCCACGTCAGTGCCTTCTGACAGAGATTTCACTCATGGTGCCCAAGTGCAAGAGGCCATGATACGTCTCCTAGAGAAAGCACATGTTAGATGAGCCTCGTTAGAAAATAAATCAATCATTTAATTCTGACACAGAAACGTTGTCCTGGGCTTGGGGCATCTCCATTTCCCAACTATCATTAACCTTGAAACACTGAAAATGATAAAGTTCAGATGATTGGAGAAAGGTACACTATTAAGCTAAAGCAAGGAAACCTGTTTCCCTTCTTGTAAACTGTTTCAGGAAGGAAAGCATTGCCTTGCCTCTGCAACAGTGGCAAGCCCCAAATGCCACTTTCCCTGTCGGCATCTGGGACCAGGTGTGGTGCCCCAGCAGGGATATGGCACCAAGAAGCTCCGTCTTTGCTGGGACAGTGGCCCCCCCTGAAGGGACGGCATCACGGGCCGCCTTGTGGATGCTCCAGGCATGTTGCTGTTTGAGTGGTGCTTGTGGGATCCTGCCCTGGAAGGGTGCACGTAGCCTGTGTGTGGGCTGTTTCCATTAGGAGTGTGGGTTGCTTACACAGCCTCTTATGACCAGAGAAGAAATGTCCAGAGGGAGGATTGACCTGTGTTAGAATGTACACGGGTTGTGTCCTGACCAGGTATGATGAGATGACAGACTTGGAAACTGCTGCCTTGAAAGAAGAGTTCTTGACTCAAAGCTCCCGAGAGGAGGGGTGCACCACGCTGCATGGGGCCCACGAGGAGCGCCAGGGTCTGTCAGCAGGCCGAGGGTGAGGAGGAAGCATGGCCGAACCCGTCTCGTGGCTCCTGGAGGACGGAGTGGGCCAGGTAGGGTGAGCACGTCTGGGCAGGCCTGGGGTCGGACAGCTTGGTCATTTCAGCAGGCTCCGGGCTCTAGGCGTGGCTTCCACTTGTCCACTCCCTGGCCCTGGGGTGACTTGCGGCAGAGGAGACACTGGCCGGGGAGGGCTCTGGCTTGGCTGGTTTGCACGTGAGTGGCGCGCTCACAGGTGTCCCCTGCCTTCCCGGGGAGCTAGCCAGCTTGCGGAGGGGTCTCTTCCCAGCCCACAGGCCCCCAGGATATCAGAGCATTACAGAAAATAAACACCGTGGTTAATACCCGACAGCACTGAGCAGTCTTCTCCACTGACTGCCTCTGGGTCTACACTGCAGAGAGTGCCCAGGTCTCAAATTGCGAGGGGCAAGCATGGTGGCAAGCGATGAGTGCACGGGCCCTGTGAGTGCAAGAAGCCAGGACCGTAGGAGAGGCTGGTGCACGATGCCTCTTGCCCTTCTTCCTGCCTGTACCCCAGCCTAAGTTCTCCATGAAGTTAAATGGCAGGAACAGGAGTTTTTTGCTCAGACCAGGATTGTTTGGTTTTGCTCCATACTCTTACAGAAAGGAGTTACAGTGGTTTGTAAGGGTACAAGAGGAGCCAGGAATCAAACAGACAGTGTAAAAGGAAGGAGCCTCGAACGTGACCCTGGATGTCCTCCACAGGCCCTGGAATGCCGGTGCTGGGACGGCTGATCCCTGACAGCCCTGCACCTGCCCCAGGCACCTCACCAGAAGTGCAGATGCCGTCTAATAGCTGCAGGCACGCTGCACATTTGATGTGAAAAGAGACAAAACTGAATACAGGATGCACCCAGCTCACCTTTTGTTTCATTCAAAGGGCATAGAACTTTGCTTCCTCAGAGCACATGGAAGGAGCTCCCAGGCTGCTGGACACGTGGAACTGGGGAGTGGCTGCTCAGAGATGGGGGGAAGCTCCGTGCCCTTCCCGGTCCCTCACCCTGTGCACCTCTTCCATCTGGCTGTTCCTGGGTTACATCCTTTCATAGTAAACCAGTGACCTGCAGGTGGAGCTCATTAGCAACCAGATGTCCTACAACTTAAACTTACTGAAGACAGAACAAAGGGACTCTGACTATGGATATCTTAGAAAGGGCCGTCTGAGCGGCCAAAGAACACAGCTGAAGATGACCGAATATTAAACAGGTAAAAACAGCCAATAGGAAAGAAAAATTGACAGTCTTCCAGGGGAGCACTGCCCACGAAAGGCAGGGGAGCACTGCCCACGAAAAACAGCCAATAGGAAAGAAAAATTGACAGTCTTCCAGGGGAGCACTGCCCACGAAAGTTGAAAAACTTCATGTTCTTCCAAAGGGTTTTTCTACCTTGAGTTTTCCTCTGATGTCTTGGCCTTCCAAGTCCCATCTTAAAAAGCATATTCAAGTCATCACCATCAAAACTGTGATGTATCTAAGCTCTAGAGTAAAAGATGGGGAAAGCCTAAGGAAGTGAACTGCCCCATCGTTTACCTGCCTGTGGGTTCAACACCAGCCTGTTGAGAGGTGTGGACACCCGTATCCGAAGGTCGCATTTCAGAATTTGCTCAACACTTAACTGAAGGTTATCAAAGCTATGTAAAATGGAACACTGGAAAGAATAATGCATCATGTGACAAAATAGAGCTCACATTTGCCTTTTAAAAACAGTTTGAGATGAAGAACCAAAATCTATCAGATGAAATTTGACAGGAATACACATAAACTCCTATGTTTGAGATTTAAAATGTTAATAAGCTACAGGATTGTGGGTTAGGTGAAAAGGGCCTGGTGGTCTCACTGTGAGTTCTGGCTGAGCTGAGGTGGGCACGCTGCTGAGGCTGTGGATGGAAGCTGCAAGGTTGTTCCGTGGTAGAGGGGAGCTGAGGCCAAGACCGGCAGCAGCTGCCGAGGAGGAGGCCTGAGCTCCCCGCCTGGGGCACCTGCAGGTCAGCTTTGAATCTGCATTTTTACCTTGAGATGTTACCCCTGTTAGAGGCAAAGGCTCCTTGCTAAGTGTTTGACTCACATTCACCCCTCTTTTCCCCAGCCCCCCACTTGTCACCCGCCTGCAGGCTTGCTTCTCTCCAGGACCCCTCCGCACAAGAGGCCACTCGTGCCACAGCCCCGTGGGCAGGGTCCACACTTGTGCACAGCCTCCCCTCCCAGTGCCTCACTGTGCTTGCTTCTGCGGCTGCATTAGGGCTCGTGCTCGTCCCGCTACTCCCGCTTCTCCTGGTGAAGAGCCCACATGCCCATAACCCAGTCCCCAAGGCCCTGAAATGTGAGTGTCAGCCTCTCGGGGAGAGCCACAGTCCTCGAGACCTGCTAGGCAAGACTGAAGCACGTGTCGATCTGCCCGCAGTGGACTGCTGTTCAGGTTTGCCCCAGGGTTGAAGGCAGACGTTCTTGCTGCTCAGAGGAAGCAGACAAACAGCAAACGCAGGAGTGGCTTTGAGGCTCTTTCTCACCCTGTGCCTGAGAAAAGCAGAGAAGAAACAGATGCGGAGCCAAAAAACCAGACAGACAGTGGGCATTAGGATCCCTGGAAAAAATCCAGGTTTGAGGGTGAGTGGGAGAAGCAGAAAGAAGACAAGACACAGATTCTCTGCATGCAAGGAGGATGGAGCCCCAGGTCATCCAGGTCCGACAGGCGGAAGTGGCAATGTGCTGCAGAGAAGGGCTTTTCAGCCATTTGGCTCTTAAACCTGCCGCCCTGGGTTCAGTGCTTGGGTCTGACACTTGGTGGCTGAGTGGCCTCTGCTCCGTTTTCTCCGTGGTCGGGATACTGGTGGCATCTACCTCAGAGGTCACTGGGAGGACTGTCTGGGTGGCACGTGTGGCAGCACTTAGCAGAGCCTGGCACGTGGTATGTGCTCCATGAGTCCCAGTTTTCGATGCTGCCTTCCTAGGGCTTTGGTTTCAGTGACAAGTAAAGGGGTTGAGGGGGGCAGTTGGTTCCATCATGTCCTTTGGTGGAGATGCACACGGTCTACCTCGTGAGGACGTGCAGAGCAGGACCGTCAGTGCCCCTGGCCGGAGCTGGCCGGGCCTCTGCAGGCTGGGCCCACAGGCGTGACTGAAGTGTGCACGTGGCCAGGTTCTCATGTCCTTGGGCCACGAAGATGAGAGGAGATCAAAGTCTGCCTGTTGGAAGTGAAGTTCGTTGGTCAGAGCCCAGAGCACCAAGGATGCACCTGAAGAGCCTTATTTATGCAAACATCTCTGCAACCCCAAAGTAAATCCTGCTGGGAAAGCAGAAGCACAAGCAGCCTTCTCTCAGGCTTTGTCTCTGGAACATGAGTACCGCTGTGTGGCGCTTCCGCATTAATTTGAATACCGTCCAGCACTAGACTTGAATAAAACCTGAACAGGAAGCTGAATGTTGACAAGTTGTTTTCATTCTGGAAAGTGAAGCTTAGTGTGATTCTTAGGTGTGGGCTCCTTATAACCTGCTATGTTGAGATTCCCAAGCTGCGGCCACAGTCCACCCGGTTAAGCCGGTCATGGGGTCTCAGGAGCCCCCTCAGAGGAGATGGGACTCAGACATCCGGTATAGACAGTATGGAGGAGGTGAAAAGATGCAACAAAGCATCACACAGTCCAAGGCCAGTGGTCAGCAAAGACCCAGCAGGTCCCATTAAGGACTTCTCTGTTTTGTTTCCAAGCCTCCCTCCCCAGCTTGGCTCGTTTGCAGGCCTCAAGCTCCACGTGCTTGGATACATTGCCTTGTCTTTCTGGATGCCTCCTGGGCGTTTCTGATGCTCCTGTCTTGCCAGGCCGAGACCAGAACTCACACTCATGCCCTTAAAGGCTAAAGAGATGACGTCTCAGTTCTGCATGAAAATTCATGGCGCTGCAGTAGCATTCACAGTGAAGAAACGACATGTCTTCTGCTTGCATTGAAAGGAGCCCCTGCTTTGCAGCGGTAACAGCACCAAACTGGCCAAGTCTAGCAGGATGGCAGCAGAATTCCAGCTTTCCTAGATCTCGGGGCACCTTCCCTTTTTAATCCCCCCACTCCAACACACACACTCTCAGTGCAGTGTCTTAGTGCAAGAGTCTTGGTAGCCTTCCCTGCCACCGGGCCTTGGCTTCTGAAACTCTGAATCTTGGTGCGACGAGGGTTGGAGGCAGGGTGGAGGGAGTCATGCTTCTTTCCCTTCTAGAACAGGAACTATGCAGATTGGCCCATCTTCCAGATTTCGGCCATGCAAGGTGTCAGGAGTGATTCTCTGTCCCCCAGGTGCAGAGGGCAGATGGGACGTACTGTCACATTACCCTGGGGGTGGGTGCTTGGGTGCCCAAGGACTAACCTCTAGAAACATCCAAGCAGCAGCAGCTTTCCCTGAGAAAACTTAAGCTCTGTCTAACCAGGCACTTCGCTGGACATGGCCTTTCACCGTCTCCCTTTACCCTCTGTGAAGTGCACACAGGTACTCAGACCAGTGTTAAGAGAACTCCCTTCCCTTCACAGCTCTGAGGAATCTTTGGTGGAAGACGGATGTGGGATGTCTCATTGTGCCACGTAATTCAAGATGACATGCAGTCACTATACAACTACTGCTGAGATCAGAATCCAAGTGTTCCTGGTAAATGTGGATAGGTTTTCAGTAACTGAAAGAAAAAAACGTAGCCTACAATATATTTTATTTAGCTCTGGACAACGGTTCCCAGTTCTATAGAATGCAGGCCCCTGCGACACTGCTTTCTGTACGTATTTTCAAATTCACTTATGCATAGCACCTCTCAACATGGAGCATGACATTACTAGGTACAGCTTTTTAAAGTAAGCTGTTCTGGGGAGAATGTGTATAGAAGGAACTCTCAAATGTCCAGTAAAGCCTCTTCACTCAGCCCCAAACATAAAATTCCCCTCTGTGCCTCCACTGCATGCAGATGGCTCATGCACTGGCTTTGGAAAAGTGCTTGATGCAGG